CAGCATGGATTTTTAAGATATATATACGGGTTGTGGAGGACTGCAGTATATGCTGTCCATTGAAATACCATCCGTTGGCTGCTTCTGACTCTGTTTCTTTAATATGTAAAGTTCTTTGACTGTATTTTGTCTTGGCACGGTGTGAAATCCTTGCATGCACTTTTCAACTGATCTATTTATTAGATAAAGGAAAATACTGTATGGATTAGGCACGAATTTTGAAACTGAATCACAATCACAAACAATGCGGTCTGATTTAAAGAACTCATCTTTAAAATAATATTTTCTAGTATTTCCGTTGTACAAATCTCCCCAAGTCATTCTTACAGTACGACTGATTGTAAATTGTTCACCTGTTCCTAGGAAGTTAATTCAATTAATAAAATCTACCAAAAAATTTGAACTGTGTAACTTGAGGGAACTGTGATAGGCTTCAGCAGTTTATAAGACATACACAAATAATGTGAACATACTGGAAATGTTAGTTAATAGAGCAAGAGATAACCTAGTGACAGTTTCTATGCCTAGACACTACTGCAGAGGCCAGGATCTTACTGGGAAAAGTAAAAAGGGAAGCCATTGTGCTAGAAGGTGGGAAGAAAAAGCATTCTTCTATTCAGATACTAAGGTCTGGAGATAAGAAATGTCACACTGGTGGAAAGTGTGCTCTTATAATCACATGTGCTGCACATTTCCTGCAGTGCATGTTATCCTCCAACACGCCATCATTTTTGCATAGTTTAAGAGCCTGAACACAATCGTTTGCCAATGGTTGACAGCAACAAGCCATAAATTTCAGAAAACACTGCATCTTGGCCTAGCAAATGCAATGCTGTGAACAATTGCACTCTTTATATATGCACCACAATAAACATAGCACCTGTACCAACCACACCAGGAAACAGAGAAGTTGCTTCTGCTTCCTGGAAGTGTACAATACATTAGATGCTTGAAATGGTGACAATAAAACTGGCTTTTTAAGATTGCAATAAGGATTCATAAAAGAAGTGTACAGAAATTTATAAAACATACAAAGGCAGAAAAATGGAAAATGGAGAAAAATTCTGGAAGCAGACAGCATTTTTAGTTTAAAGTAAAAGATGCTCAGAAGCAGAATTCTGAACTCAGTTCTAATAAAAGAGACAAAAAGCACTCTCCTGAAGTCCATCTGCAGTGGGTTGACCCTGGCTGGATGCCAGGTGCCCATCAAGATGCTTTATCACTCTCCTTCTCAGCTGGACAGGGTAGAGAAAGTATGACAAAAGTCTCATGGATCAGGATAAGGACACGGAGACATCAGCCACCATATACCATCAAAAGGAAAGAGACTTGACTTGGGAAAAATTTAATTTCTTGTCAATTAAATCACAGTAAGTAAGATAATGAGAAATAAGGGAAAAATATTTTAAAACACCTTCTCTCCATATCTTTCTTCTTTCTGGGCTCAACTTTACTCACAAATTGTCTTCCTCCTGCAGGTGCGCAGGGGGATGGTGGAAGCTTTTCAACTGATCTATTTATTAGATAAAGGAAAATACTGTATGGATTAGGCACGAATTTTGAAACTGAATCACAATCACAAACAATGCGGTCTGATTTAAAGAACTCATCTTTAAAATAATATTTTCTAGTATTTCCGTTGTACAAATCTCCCCAAGTCATTCTTACAGTACGACTGATTGTAAATTGTTCACCTGTTCCTAGGAAGTTAATTCAATGAATAAAATCTACCAAAAAATTTGAACTGTGTAACTTGAGGGAACTGTGATAGGCTTCAGCAGTTTATAAGACATACACAAATAATGTGAACATACTGGAAATGTTAGTTAATAGAGCAAGAGATAACCTAGTGACAGTTTCTATGCCTAGACACTACTGCAGAGGCCAGGATCTTACTGGGAAAAGTAAAAAGGGAAGCCATTGTGCTAGAAGGTGGGAAGAAAAAGCATTCTTCTATTCAGATACTAAGGCCTGGAGATAAGAAATGTCACACTGGTGGAAAGTGTGCTCTTATAATCACATGTGCTGCACATTTCCTGCAGTGCATGTTATCCTCCAACACGCCATCATTTTTGCATAGTTTAAGAGCCTGAACACAATCGTTTGCCAATGGTTGACAGCAACAAGCCATAAATTTCAGAAAACACTGCATCTTGGCCTAGCAAATGCAATGCTGTGAACAATTGCACTCTTTATATATGCACCACAATAAACACAGCACCTGTACCAACCACACCGGGAAACAGAAGTTGCTTCTGCTTCCTGGAAGTGTACAATACATTAGATGCTTGAAATAGTGACAATAAAACTGGCTTTTTAAGATTGCAATAAGGATTCATAAAAGAAGTGTACAGAAATTTATAAAACATACAAAAGGAGAAAAATGGAAAATGGAGAAAAATTCTGGAAGCAGACAGCATTTTTAGTTTAAAGTAAAAGATGCTCAGAAGCAGAATTCTGAACTCAGTTCTAATAAAAGAGACAAAAAGCACTCTCCTGAAGTCCATCTGCAGTGGGTTGACCCTGGCTGGATGCCAGGTGCCCATCAAGATGCTTTATCACTCTCCTTCTCAGCTGGACAGGGTAGAGAAAGTATGACAAAAGTCTCATGGATCAGGATAAGGACACGGAGACATCAGCCACCATATACCATCAAAAGGAAAGAGACTTGACTTGGGAAAAATTTAATTTCTTGTCAATTAAATCACAGTAAGTAAGATAATGAGAAATAAGGGAAAATATTTTAAAACACCTTCTCTCCATATCTTTCTTCTTTCTGGGCTCAACTTTACTCACAAATTGTCTTCCTCCTGCAGGTGCGCAGGGGGATGGTGGAAGGAGGTTGTGGTCAGTTCATCTCACATGGTCATACAACTGTAGGTAATGTTATGCTGTGCAGTCCTTCCTTCCAATAAATAAAATGTAACAAAATGATTCAACACTTGCCAGTTTGGAGAATATACCAGATTATTTAGGGACACTGCCAGGGACCAGATTGCTGATGACAAAACTGCTGATTACCATGGAAACCCTGGCAGGTGTAGCTACATGCACCAAATAATTCCACTGGCTGTGCCCTTAGTCTGCATGAGCTGCATCTCTAAGATGGAAGTCAGCATGATTGAACTGAAATGAAAAAGAAAAAGCCTGCTAAAGTTTGTTTGCTAAACAATTGCTCTAAGACTGGTTTATGACTGTTATCAACTTCAGTTGGTTATAAAGCTGCAAGGAGTTCACAGCAGTTAACAAATGGCAAAACTCAGGTTACACACCACAAATATTTGTTGAATTTAGGTTACTACAGTACCATTTCATCCTAGCATCCCATGGTTTACACAGACAGACTGGTCAGTAGCAGATGTTCAGAAGGGGTGGAACACCTCTCTGTGAAGAAGGACTGAAAATATTGAGATTGTTGAGGCTGGAGAAGAGAAAGCTCTGAGTCAACCCTCTTGTGGCCTTCTAGCTCCTAAAGAGAGCCTACAAGAAACATGGAGAGGATCTTTTTACAAGGGCACAAAGTGACAGGACCAGAGGGCAATGCCTTTGAACTGAAAGAGGGTAGATTTAGATTGGGTATTAGGAAGGAATTCTTTACTGTGAGGATGGTGAGGCACTGACACAGGTTGCCCAGAGAAGGTGTGGATGCCTCACCCCTGGGAGTGTTCAAGGCCAGGCTGGATGAGGATTTGAGAAACACGGTCTAGTGGAAGACGGTCCTGCCCACGGCAGAGAAGCTGGAACTAGATGAACCCTAAGGTCCCTTCCAACCCAAACCATTCAATGATCCTGTGATTTAGAAAAGCACCATACTCTCCTTCCCTATGGGAAATCTCAGGCATTGTTTGGAGTTATCTGAAAAAATGTCAGCAAAAAGCCATCAGGGCAAGCAACCTGTGTATATTCAGCTGCTCAGGGCAGTGCCTGTTGGACACACCTGTACACCTCCATGGTTTCTTGTGTCTGCTCAAGAACAGCGTTCGTGTGGCCTTTTGGGAGGGGTTTTGTGATCTCGCCACACATTCATCTAAAACTCAAAAGGCTTCCAAGATTAATGCATCATCTCATCAATGTCTATAATTGTCTAAAGAGTGTGAAGGAGATGGATCCAGGCTCTTTCTGGTGGTGCTAAGCAATAGAACAAGAGGCAATGGGCAGACGTGGATGCCCAGGAAGTTCCACCTGGGCATGAGGAGGAGATTCTTTACTCTGCAGTGACTGAGCACTGGAACAGATTGCCCAGAGAGGGAGTGGAGTCTCCCTCACTGGGGATACTCAAGAGGTGCCTGGACACGATCCTGTGCCGTGTGGTGTAGGATGACCCTCTGGAGCAGGGATGGGACCGAGGACACACTGTGGTCCCTTCCAGCCCGACCCGTCCTGGGCTTCTGTGATTCTCTGAAGGGCAGCAGGGGAGCAGGACAGTGACTCGTACTTGTCACTTCATCCTGACAGAAGCATCAAAGACCTCAGGGAGGGAGGATGGAAACATCCATAGCCAAGGGAAATCTGTTGCTTAGAAAATATTTTGGTGCTCATTCCACTTCAAGAAAAAGTTGAAGACCGTCACAATAAAATGGCAATAACATAGTTGTAACATGGTGGCAATATGTTAAAAGGCAATAGCATAAGTCTGTAAGAGAGCGAGGTAAAGGCCAGTAAATATTTCACGTCCCGCCGGAACACCCGCGCCCACCCTCACGGCGCACCCGCTCGGCCATCGACTGCTCCGGCCGCGCCCGGCCCCGCCCGCCGGCGGGCGGGTGTCGGCGCGGAGCTCGATTGAGCAGCCTGTCGGTGGGCGCTGCCGCAGCGGGGCCGGACGCGCCCGGGCCCGCTCCCGGGCCTGCTCCCTCTCCCGGTCCCGCTCCCGATCCCGATCCCGCTCCCTGTCCCTCTCCCGCTCCCGATCCCGCTCCCGCTCCCGGTCCCGCTCCCCATCCCGCTCCCGGGCCCGCTCCCGCTCCCGGTCCTGCTCCCGCTCCCGATCCCGATCCCGATCCCGATCCCGCTCCCGGTCCCGATCCCGCTCCCGATCCCGCTCCCGCTCCCGCTCCCGCTCCCCATCCCGGTCCCGCTCCCCATGCTGCGCTGGCTGATCGGCGGCGGCCGGGAGCCGCAGGGCTTGGCCGAGGTGAGGCGGCTCCCTGCGGAGCCTTACGCTTGGGGCTGGTGGTGCCGTGAGGTCGGGGTGCGCCGGGCCGCGGCCTTTCCCGCTGGGGCGGTCGTGGCCCCGATATGGGCCGTGCTCCGCGCCGGGTCTCGGCCTGCGAGGCGGTCGGACTGGCAGAACGGATTACGGCGTCCTCGAAGAGAAACAGGGGAGCCGGGAAAGCACAGAAGCGAACCTCAAGAACTGTGTGCACGTCTGGGCACTTCCGTTCAAGGAGGACATCGAGGGCTGGAGCGTGTCGGGAGAAGAGGAACGGAGACGGTGCAGGGTTTGGACCACAAGTCCTGTGTGGAGTAGTTGAGGGAGCTCGGTTGGTTTTATCCTGGGGAAAAGGAGGCTCAGGGGAGATCTTGTCACTCTCTCCAACTACCTGAAAAGAGGGGGTAGCCCTGGGGGTTCGTGTCTTGTCCCACGCAACCGGTGACAGGAGCAGGACGCAGTCTCCAGCCGCACCAGGGGAGATTCAGTCTGAGCATCGGAGATAACTTCTGCACAGAAAGGGTGATACTGGAATGGAGTGCTCAGGGAAGTAGTGGAATCACCGTCCTTCGAGGTGTTTAAGGGCTGGACGTGGTCTAGTTGACAAGGTGCTGTTTATCACAGGCTGGGCTCCATCTCAGACGTCTTTCCTAGCCTGGTTGGTTCTGTGAACAGCAAAACGACCGAGCTAAGCTCCTGCTTTGCAGGAGTTATGTATGGTGTGTGGCTTTCATGCAGTTCCTGCAGGTCCTGCTTTCAGGACTCTGAGGTCGATAATGTAAGTTATAGGCAGTAAGTTGTTATTTATATGTCACAGTAGTTTGTAGTAGCTGTGAAGCGTTTCTTCTTAGTACCTCATCCATAAAATATGCTTTGTTATCGAGTGTACTATACACTGACATCCTTGCTGCTGCCCAGATTAAGAGTAATATTACTGGATTAGGGGGAGAGATTTTGAGAATTTCCTGTCTCTAAGAGGCTGCTGAAGTTCTCAGCATGAATTTAACAAGTATTAATTAAAAGTATTGCTGCGCTCCATGCACGTAGTGCTTTTGTAATCTAGACAAGTATGAGGAAATAATTATTTTTCAGCTGCTGTTCATGAGCAAGTTATGCCAATATTATGGTTGACTGTAAAGGTCAGTACTTAATTTGGGTCTGCACCAGGTTGGAATGACAATGTGTGGAAGTACCTCTGACTTTTGTCATCAGTCAAAATACCAGTTGGATTGCAGTCGCATTTGCAGCTTTGTGTGCAGTTGTTTTTAGAAGGAGGATAGGAAATATGATGCAGTTTTCTAAGATGTGCTAGAAAACGTCATTGTTGTGTGTCCCTCTCCAAAGTTTGGACTTTGACTGAGTTTTGTGTACTGTGGTTTAATAAAGCATGAGCATAAATCAATCTGTGGCCTGCTTCTTCCATTCTGCCATTCATGCCTTGGTTAAATCCAATCCACAGGACTTCTGTTCTCATTGCTTTGCTCTCACAGAGTTGTGGAATAATAGTAATAATTTTGCTTCTCAGTTGAAAATCTGAAGAACAAGTATTGCTGAGGGTTAGTCCCTAGACTTCCCCCCTGCCCTGCATGATGTAATATTGTTTCATTTAATAATCTTTGTCACCATTGGTTCTTCAGTAGTTCTGCGTCACCATTAGTTCTTCAACAGCTCACAGCAGTGTGTGGACTATGGACTTAGGGTGTTTGTTTCCTGTGCTGTGACTTCAGGCAGATGTGTTAAAGTGGCATTGCACTAGGTGAATAGAGGAAGCCTCTGGCAAAGCTGTCCTAAGTTCTCCTTACCCATTTATCTTTTTTTATTTTTTTAAACTGTGGAATCAGAATTTCTTCAGTTGATGGCCATGGTGTTCATCTTAGTCAGGGTGGCTCTGGTGGTGGGAGCACTTCAGTGCAGGAGCATCGTGGTCCATAGGAGCTAATCTGTCATGCTCAATGATCTGTAGATCAGTGTTCCTGTGTACCCTCATGTCCGTGTTTTTCATGAATAGCTTTTGAAAACCCCACTTTTTAAATGCTTCACATCTTGTGAAGTTTTGAGGTTGAGATGAACCTCAGCCTGGGTGGTTTGGTTTTGGTTTTTTTTTATTTTTTTTTATTATTTTTTTTTTTTTTTTTTTTTTTTTTTTTTTTTGAGATCAGATTTTATTTTAGCTAGAATTATTTAGACCTATCAGAGTAGGTAAACAAGTAGGTAAACACTGGTCTGATTTTGAAACTGCATTGTTTCATAACTGCAGTTATGATAAACTGGAAGGGTTATCAGTAGGTGAGTAGGCTATACTATATGAGAGGGGAAGAAAATACTGTTAAATTATGCTTCTCCTCATTGAGTAAGCAGAGATGTCAAGGAAAAGACCCACCACCTCCTTGAATCTTGGAGAAAGAAACCTGCTGTGTTGCCCATGTGGTGTCTCTGCCTGCAGGTGAACAGGCAGCATACCCAGCCTACTCCTCCAGGCTGCCACAGAGGGACTAAGGGGTTTTGTTCACTTTTGCAAAAAGAATGAGAAACAAAACAAGATTGTAGAGAAGCTGTCTTCATGGCCATCCTCTAGGAGCTGTCTCTAAGGACTGCCCATGTCACAGCCCTGCAGCTCTGGCCAGGTCTCTTGTGCACCCTCAGGAGCAGAATCATCCACACAAGCTGATTCAGTCACTCCTGACTGATTGGATGCGATCCAATCAAACATATCCCAGCTGCTGAAAGCACAGCTGGATTTCCTGTTAACAGTGCAACTGCTGCTATTCTTGCTGCTATTGTTGCCGCAATCTCTTGTGAAGGCTGGAATCCTGGTAAACAAGGATGGCTGTGAGTTTCTCTTACACAATTGCTTTCACATCCTGGGGCTGTCTTGCAGCCTGCAGGGCATGGCTGTCCTTTCAGTTGTGTCTAACTGGAGGTAAAAAATGTGCAGGTTAGTAGAGAGGAGCTGTCCTGTTAAGACTATGAGCACACAGATGCTGGCCGACAGTCCTTTTGTGTAGGAGCATGTCAGAGGCCATGGCTCTGACAGAGCAAGTGTACAAAAAAATGCTTATATGTATATGTATATACGTATAAAAAGCAGATACACAGTTCTGAGGGATGTGATCAGCTGCTGGGTTTATCAGGAAGAGATTCTTCCTTTGTACATCACTGAAGTGCCACCCAAGTAAGGACTTTTTATGTTGTCATTTTAAATACCCATTTTCAAAGCATATTAAGCTTTTTCTTTATTACCTTGCTATAAGCTTCAATGTATTGTTTTCCACCAGCATTGTCGCAAATATTAAGGAGGCACTTGACCTGGACTAGCAACATCTCCAAGAAGGCACATATTGGCAAAAACCACACTTGATTGTTTTGTACAATAAAATTATGCTGAATTGGTGGCCATTATTATAACTAGAAATCACAATATATGTTGTCTCAGGGCATTATAGGGCATCATAAATTTATTTCTCCTCAAAAGATTGAAAGAAAAGGAAAGAAGCCAAAACTTCAAGTCAGCTTTCAGATTGACAGTTTGTTAAAAAGAACAACAGAGCAAAGGGGAAGTTTGGAAGGTTTTATAATGCCATCAGAGTTGCCCTGAAAATCTTACTTCAGAAGAGAGGGCAGGGTTGTTTTTTTTTTTAAGTAATTCATATATATAGCTGCAAGTGCAATTACTTATAAATGACCAGTGTACATATGTAAAATATGACTAATCTTCAATGCTATGAGCTACAAAGGCAGGGGAAATAGTACTGCACAAAGAAAACAAATAGCACCCGAACCCCACCCCGGGGGGTTTTGTTTTTGTTTTTTTTTTTTTTTTTTTTTTTTTTTTTTTTTTTTTTTTTTTTGTCTTATTACTGTAAAGTTGCTTATAGGTCATGCATAAAAATATGGAATAGATTCCATTAACATCAGTATCCAGCTTTTACCTCTAAAAACTTAATGTTGCTACAGGACAGTCCAGTTAGTAGTTTGTATAAGAAGATTACTGTAAAGTTGCTTATAGGTCATGCATAAAAATATGGAATAGATTCCATTAACATCAGTATCCAGCTTTTACCTCTAAAAACTTAATGTTGCTACAGGACAGTCCAGTTAGTAGTTTGTATAAGAAAATAGATTTTTTCAGAGAAAGAACACTCATGTTACCCAACACTTGAGTAAATATTACCGAAGATCTGAAGAGAGCATACCTTGTTGTATGACATTTCTGGGGAAAAAGATGTTATTTGTTCTCATATATAAGTACCTTATCAGCACAGTACCTTTCAGTGTTCACAGGCATTGTTAGAATTAAGATTAGGTGTATTGTTCAAAAGAAATAGCACCATCTTGTATTGAATAGGAAGCAACATCAGATTGTAGAATTGGGGTGTTAGTGGTACAAATTCTGAGTTTTTCAAATGATGTTAAAATTGTTTTCTGAATGTATGTTTTCTGACTGTAGTATTGCTATACTGAAGTTACCTTAGGATTTTTAGAACTCTCATTTTTTAAAGGAATGTTTTGATTAGTTTATAATGGATTAACTCCAAGTTATTTAATTTGTTCTTACAGCCATGCAGATTCTATTTGCATTATTTTAAAGGGGAACTGCTGTTCTCCTGTGATTGCACAAAACGAGGAACAGTTGCTTCATGAAATGCATCAGGTAGCACAACATCAAGATAAAATCATAGGAGTTTCATTTAAAAATTAAGAACTCTTAATTTTTAAAATAAAAACACATTTCTTTCCATCCATGTTTATTAACTATGACATTCTTAGTTTCTGAAGAGTATTATCATAGTACCAATATCAAAGTAATAGAAAATAGTTTATTAATCCTGCAAGAAAAACTTCAAGTTTATGGGGATAACATGTTTGTCTTTCATGTGGTGTTACCTTTTGTGTGCTGGATGTTGTACTGTGTTCTGTAGTTGCTGTTTTTACAATGTACATTCTGTTGAAGTTCTCAAAGAAGGGATAGTCTTGGAAATAGTATGATGTTGACTGTTGTGTAAAATCTAGAGGGGAGAGAGTGCTGTCACTGAGTAACTACTGAGCTATTTAGATGGTTAAAAAAAAGTCTGACAAGTTGTTTCAGAATGTTTAAGCTCTTGATTACAAAAAAGTTGTCTTGAAATAAAATGATGATTGAGATTGGCAGAACTATTCTACCTTGAAAATGCAGTTCTATGCAGTATTTTATTGACCCTGCCTAGTGATCAGCTTGCTCCAAGTGATTGATTGTTCTTTTAATTAATAGTCTAGTCGGGGGTAATTGCAGATGCTGTTCTATAAAATGATTAATCATTATCTGTTTTTTTTAAGCAGTGTGCTGTGGTATTTTCTGAATAGAGTACCAGTGGGTGATTTATATATTATGGAACAGAACAGCATTTGTTCTTATTTGTTTTAAATATATTGTCTTTATATAGGATTTTAAAATTGAACAGTAGATGAAAGATATGAGAGGTTCACAGCCATCTCATAAGAGATGTAATGTAATGAAAAACTGAATGTATAGTGAATTGAGTCATGAAGCTGGCTTCACATGACAGCTTATAACTGAGCTGGGTTTTCATCTCACTGTATCAGTGATTAAATGGTTACAAAATGTTTTTGTTGAAAAGAAAATGCTATATTGTAATTTAAAATACCTACTATAGTAAGCTATTATTATAATGAAATAACAGGAAATTATATTTTATAATGATTTTCATTAAGGCAAAATGGTATTTCAGAAACTTTACACATGGGTCTGTGTGTAGATTGTTAGACATTACGAAGACCTGATAAAAATAATGATGTTAGTACAAAATAAATTTACTTCCTTTTTTAAATGAATTTTAGAAATCCTCTGTACAGACAATTGGTGAAGAGCAAATACAGAATCCTTACACGGAGCTCCTTGTGTTGAAAGGCCATCAAGATATAGTACGATTTCTAGTGCAAATAGATGATTACAGGTATGAAATGCCATTTCATATTGTTTCACAATGTCCTTGGCAATATGTTTGTAAAAATGCAGTAACATTTGAATCCTGTCTTTTGGGGGATGAGAGCTGGAAAAACTGGAGTTAAGTCAAGGGGTGAATACTCTCTTTTCTTACTATGTTACTGTTTTTTTTGGTTTCTCTTTTAAGTCATACTTTAATGAGAAAATAATGGTGATAATGTTACATTTCTCAGTACAGACTCATTTGTTTGTATGAATTGCCTTCAGCTAATTCATCTGTTCTTTTTCAGTCTGTTCCTGGTCTGAGTGCTGCCTTCTGTATGTGCATAGATTCTCACAGGACAGTATGCAGTACTGTCTGCTGCTGTTCTGACAGGATGCATATGTTCTATGTTTCTGAATTGAGGACAGCTGTTTTACCTTCTGGTTCTATGAAAGTGTGTAGTAGACTCCTACAGATGTGCTGTAGAATTGGACATGACATCTTCAACAATGAGTGTTGCTTTTCCTTTCTTTCTAATCTTTTGTTGCACTTTCTTTTGATGCTACAGTGCCAAATTCACTTGAGCTTTGGTTAATGCAATTTTTTCAGCTTTGCAAGTTTTAAAGTTTTTAGCTACTTTATTCAGAATGACTACTTAGCAAAAGTCAACATATGCCTAACCTCTGCATTATGTGTCTCTTCCAGTTTGATCTGGTTCAACTTGCTATACTTCTTTGAAACCTTTGTTTCTCTCCTTCAGGTTTCAGTTATATGCACCTTTCTGTATATTTCCTAACAATCTCTATCTGTAACTTCAGAAGACTGACTTATCTGTCTTCTGATGACAGAGTTATCTAAAAACTGGAAAGCTAGTTAAGAAGATGAAATAATTCTATTTACCTTTGTCACTTAGGAAGTGTGACTGAGAGAATAAATTATGATGTTGTACGTTACAACCTAGTTTCTCTTCTAGTTTTCTCTGAATTTACCTGCATGTTCTTTAATTTAACATGATTCTACGAGAGAAGAAATAATTTTCTGCCTTAAAAGTAAGATTGTGGAGTCTTTAATCAGTCATAAAATGTAGTGACTCTTGACTGATGTGGAGAATTAAACAGAAAATGTTTAGTGACTAAGAACATAAGTAATAGGCAAGATTAGCTCTGTTAAGGAGCTGTAGTAATTTATATATTTTACAAATTAGACACAGAAGGGAAATTCTAATATAGTCATCAATACACTGAATGAAGTTAACATGGCCAAGAGTTTGTTTTATATCCTTGCAGTGTACAGCAGGTGTTTCATGAAGCAATGTTCTCTCCTGCCCCATGCACATTGATTGGAAGAGATGCTGATGGTCTAGAAATGCCCACAGATTCTTATTAGCTAATATTATATATATATATATATATATACACATAAATAAAATTTCACAGAAGACTCCATGGAGGATTTTTATCTTGTTGGTTTTTATTTTAAATGTCATATATATATGTATGTCAGGAAAGTTACATACCTTCTTGTAACATTCATTTTTCTGTGTAGTAGTCCACCAGAAGAGTCATAAAAAAATGGAAGAATCTTGTGTGGTTTCTTCAGTCTTTTTTCCCCCCAGACAAGTTAGCAAAATAACACGTTATCCAAATATGTTTTTCTCAAATGTAAGCTGAATATGTGTAATTCTTCTTTGTAGAAGCACCACAGTATTCTTAGCTTGCACATACAGTCTTATAAAAGAAGTCTTTTACCATTTTTGGCTTTTGTTATTTGGCAGGTAAATTACTAAAGCTAAAATAATAGTAATAATTTTAAAACTAAAGCCTTAGTGGTGATGTTTAAGATAGGTTATAAAATAGCATATGGATAATGAGTGAATTTTGTAGCTGGTTAGTATTCTGAGAGTTTGAGGAGTTTAATAGAACTATTTCAGTTGTTACTGGCAGTAATTCTAAATTCTATTTATCAAGAATATGGTATTGTCTATATTGTTAAACACATGATAATATTTTTCACTTGATTCTTTTCAGTAAGACTAGTATTTTTACTCAGTTTCTGAAATGTTTTTGTTTAGTTTCTGCAGCTATTCCATTGTGTGCTTTTTGTCAACTATTGTAAGCCAAGTTTCACGCTTCAGGTCTTTAGATAATGTCATCTTAGTGAGAATTTTACAGAAGGATTTTCTTGTTTTCTCAGTGCCTCAGCTAAAACCAGTGAGTGGAAAATTTTCTCATATTGGTTTTTGAAGATACTAAATAAATCCTCTATGAATGTAACAGAAAGCTGGTTGGTTTTTTTTGGGTTTTTTCTTCTTTGCTCTTTTACTTTTTAAACATAAGTAAGGCTCATATTGATTGGAAGATCACTAAAGAAGGTTAAGCCTCAGCAAGAGTCTTCCAAAAACTGGACTGAGATAAAATTGCAAGTAATACTCTAGCCTTTGACACATTAAATTAAATGGAGTTCATAATACATTTTAAGAATAGATTTTTTTTGTTGCTCATTTGACCATTCCTTGCTCCTTCAGGAAACAGACAAGGTTATAGATGATGGTGGTCATTACTGGAAAAGATTGAGGTGACCCATGAAGACATTTTTTTATAACTATTGGAATTCTTAAGTCTTGTTCTTATATTGGGTATATGTTGATAATCACCTATTTAAATATACTGTTTCAGTTTGAAACTGTAATTAGGATTTACAAATACATGTTTATTCTTTAAAGACTGAATCTGATATATCTTATAAGCATTTTTACTTCCGTAAGTATTTACTGCTTTTCCATTGCATTATGCTATAATGAAGTTTTCACTTAGTTATAGTTCTTTGTCTGGTTTGTTTTTTTTCCCAGGTTTGCATCTGCAGGAGATGATGGAATCATATTTCTGTGGAATGCTCAGGTTAGCTGTCTCTTTTAGGATGGCTTGTGCACTCTGGACAGGGTAGAAGTTCTAGAGAAGAGGTGGAAATTTCTAGGAGCAAAAAAAGTGGAAAAAATAAGAATTGATTCAGAGCTAATGTTTTAAAATGTTTTTCTGTTTAAATGCAGAAGTGTGGATGAAGTTGTGACTTTAATTACTCTCTGAAAGTATGTTCTGTGTTTGCTGTAAATGCTGAAATGCTGACTAGTAACTCAACAAATATGTAGGAAGATTCCAAACTTGCCAGGATTTTTTATGTATTTTATGCATTTAAGATTTAAATACATTTCAGTCACTCTATTAGTAATACCTCTTCAGAATGACTGATTAATGGAGAGCTATCACAGAATTGTTTAAAAGATACCAAAATCAGTATGAATTAAACATTTCATGCTGTGCATGAACACACCCTTAATTCCTTGCTGTGATAAAAAACTTTCTTACAAGTTTTGAAAACCTTAATAAGACATTAGTTTTATCATACACATGGTGCTCTGTAAGTGTGACACCTGCTGTTTTGCTCTACTGCTCTGTTTCTCCATATCATTGACAAAACTGTAGAGAAGAGATGAGCATTAGGTAGGTTAAGGACATCTAGTATATGAGTTACATTGTTTAGTGAGAAGTTTGAAGGGTCTACACTGTATCAGATATTCGACTGAGGAAGAAAAAATCACGGACTTTAAATTTTCTTTAAAATCTTCTGAAAAATTTATGTGATATTTATAATGATCAGGAGAGACTTAAAACTTTTCTTTTGAGCAATTTCCACTAGTCCTTTTCTGGTTTTGGAGGCCTTTTATAATTTTATAATTCTATAATTTGGAAAAGTAAAGGGATTTTAATGTTTAAACCCATGTGTCTAAATATATATGTCCAGTATGCTGAGCAGCTTGTGAACATAAAATTCATTTGGATATCCAGCTTTATGAGCTGAGTTCCATTTTCTACTTCAGTAGGACTTCTGTTGTGTTTGTTAAAACAAATCTTTGTACTTTTAATTTAAAGCAGTAATGCACATCTGTCAAGAAATTTGCATTTAAAATTACCCTGTATTTTAGCTGTATGTTTAAAATGCCAGTTTGCTTCTGCATTTTGTTTGTAGGGTTTTGCTATTTAACTAAAATGTCCGTAGAAGTAGCTGTACTTGTCTAAAGCACCCGTTTGAATCTATGTATAATGTGCATAGTAATAAATCTGGGAGGTTGGCCATAAATATAGGTCAGGTTTTTCCAATAGTTAAAATTTAAAAAAAAATACATTTTCAAGTAAGGGTTTGTCAACAAACCTGAATTGCTGTAGCATTTATAAAGAAGGATGATTAGCCAATATTTGCCTTAAAATTAAATGAGTTTAATACAGAATTTAGTTCTTAAGGGCTTTTAGAGGTTTTTACTCAGAGAGTGATTTGCATTATGTTCTTAAAACTAACTCATAGTATGTTATTTAATTTAAGATCTTGGACAGTACTGAAGGTAGTAAGTAGAAAATCCTTAAATTTCTTTAGGAAGGGAGATTTTAGACTCATAGTAATTCTTGCTTTAAAAAGTCATTTAATACCTATATTTGTGCTACTGTAGGCATTTTCCTATTTTAACCTTAGTTTTCCATGTTTTTATTTTTCAGACTGGAGAAAAACTTCATGAACTTCATGGACACACACACAAAATTACAGCTATAGCACCATTTGCTTCATCAGATGCTACAGAAGAAAAAACAAATTTGATTATAACAGCATCAGCTGATAGAACAGTTATTGTATCCTTTGATCTGGGGAGAGTTTAAAATTCTATGGGCTTTTCATGGTTTTTACTTCTAAAGACAGCACTGACAATCTGCAGTCATCTCAGATCTGGCTGCAGCCCATCTCAGAACTTAAAGGCTACCAACACCCACTAGGTGTAATTGGATTAGGGTTTTACTAGTTATTGTTCACGTGTAGATACAACCCTTGCCACAAAAAAATTAATCCATAACAGGCCTTTATGAATATATAATTTAGGCCAAATATTGAGAAGACTGTCAGAGTTTAAGAGACTGAGTCTCTGCATACCTCTTTCATAATCTGTCATTTAGTTACCAAAACAGCATTTACATTTATGATACATAGAAACCTTTCAGTTTCCTTAATGAATAAAGACAGGTTTGGGACTGCACTAGTGGCAGACAGGTTCAGAAAGTGTCAAGTTTCCATTCTACTGTAAAGGTACTGAGGAAACCCTATGAATGTCTGTTGTTTTGTTTTATACATTAAGCTATTATGTCAGCCTCATGGATCGTGTGGGAAGATGTGTTAGAATAAATGGCATTGTTTTATTTAATAATAGGTTCATAATGAATGGCTGAGAAGTGGGCATAATTCTTATTTTGTTTTTGGGTCTCTTAATACCTCAGTTTTCTTTTTGAGAGGAGGTAGATCAAAGGTAGTGCTGTGACTTGGTTTTATTACTGTGTTGCAAAAGGCGTTCTACAACATTTAAAGTTTTTGCGCTGTTGGTGAAAAATTTACCATATTAGTGTGTAATTAAATATGTATTTCTCAGAGACCTTGATACTGTATTTCATACTACTTACAGATTTTTTAAACTAAAGCTCATGATCATTACACTGAGAAATTCCCTGAAGAACTTTTGCAGGAGACATATATCTGATTTTTGTTCTGCAGTGTTTGACAGTTCTTCAAAGACTGAATGTATGGTTGTCTGGAGGGAGTGATCTATGTGTTTGGAACCGAAAATTAGATCTCTTGTGTAAGACCAGTCATCTTACTGATGCAGGTAAAAATGGAAATGACTCATTATAGCTGTTAAAGTGCAAGTGAAATTGATCTGTATAATGATGCAAAACCAACTTGGCAAATTCATTTTAATTCTAATGACAACATTATGTATTAGAGCCACTCTTTATTTTTTTAAATGTCAGATTTAATAGTTTTCGAACTAAGACCGTTTTTAATGTTCTGTGCTGTGTGAATTTTAGAATGTCGCAGATCTCAGTAACTGTACATTATCTTGGACTACAGGACTAGAGCTCAGATGCTGAATTATGTGTTTGCTGTTAACATGTACCAGATCCTTTGACTGGCTTTTTGTATGATTGAGTGGGAGTTTTATTATATTTCTATTAAGTGAAGCTTTGTAATAGCAGAGCAGTAAAGATTACTTTTTTATTGTTAAGAATCAGTACTTCTGATGTAGAAAAAGCATGTTTTGATAGGAATATAGTAATCAGAAATCACTGTCAATCATGCTTTTCTGTTAATAAACTTCTATATTATCTGTCCATGTGAAGGAAATTTTGCATGTTATTGCTGTACTTTACCAAGATGCTTACAAAGCTGTGAATCACCTTCAAAGGTGGAACTGATATTTGCCTTATTTTTGTCATAAAGTAGTGGTAGGCAATGCCTTCTGAATCCTTGAGGACATTAATACGTCTTTTGGTTCAGTATGAAATATCATGCTAAATACAAGTTGGACTGTGGTGCTTAGTATAAAGTGCTATTGAAACTTCAGTACAAGGAATCAATGGAATGTGTGGCATCGGCCCTCTCTTCTGTCCTAATCTCTGACTTCCTTTGTGGGAAAGGAGGTTGCTTATTCCTTGCGGAATTTTCCTCTAATGGTTCTTTGGCACAGGGTGGGGAAATTCTGTGCAGGATGAAAACAGATGATAGCAAGCTGGGTATTTTATCATATGCTTTATTCTTCTTTGTCTTGCTCTGTACGTTATTTTAGAATTGTGCATACTTGAGGTAGTATCACGTATCAGTATCTAATAATTTTGGTACTGCTTATATTTAGAGCTGCAGTAATTGTCATGGTGTTTTTAATACTGTCCAGCATTAGAACATAAATATCTTAATTGTATTTAAAATAAAAAGATCATTTAATTTCAGTTTCACCGTAAGTTTGATGTTCTGAATTCTGCTTGATTCAGGACCAAAGCTCCTGGCCTCTTTTTGAGATAATCTGTTCATTTCTGATGCCTTTAACTTCAGGCAATAGACTTTGGTTTTGATAAGTGGAAAGAAGATTGTTAAGAACTTTATTAATAAGGAATTAGCAGTTTGTTGTGTTTTCTTGTGATCAATTAATATCCTTTCCCCCTTTTTTCAAAGGCATCAGCGCTTTGGTTGAATTGCCCAAAAATTGTGTCGCTGCAGCAGTTGGCAAAGAGCTAAGTGAGTATCTTGCATTTTTCAGTGTTCATGCTCCTCCGTAACGGCTGCTTAACAGAGATATGTGTGAAGAGCACTCTGCTGGAATTGTATAGGAAAAGTAAATGGTGTTAGGGTGTGGTCAGCAACATTTCTGTTTTTACCGTTGACAAAGAGGAGACTATACTAATCTTAATAATTTTTTTGAAATATGCATGATGTGCAAAACAAAACTTTTCTGTATTTAGAATCATAGAATCACTAAGATTGGGAAAGACCTCCAAGATCATTGTGTCTAAGCTTTGACAATCATCATCGTGCCAGCTACCATAGAACTAGGTATCATATCCAGTCATTTCTTGAACACCTTCCGGGATGCTGACTCCTCCACATCCCTGGGCAACCCATTCCAATGTCTAACTACCCTTTCAGTGAAGAGATTTTTCCTGATGTCCAACCTGAACCTCCTCTTGAACAGCTTGAGGCCATTTCCTTTTCTCCTGTGACTTGTGGCCTGTGAGAAGAGGCCAATGCTCACTTTGCCACGACTTCCTCTCAGGTAGCTGTAGGAAGTGATAAGGTCTCCTTTTAATCCATGCTAAACTACCCAAGCTCTCTTCTCATAAGACTTGTACTCCAGACCCTTCACCAACTCTGTTGGTGTTCTTTGGACACACTCCAGCACCTCAAATGTCTTTCTTGTCCTGAGGGACCCAGAACTGAACACAGAACTTGAAGTGTCGCCTCAAGTGGCTTTTGTGGCCTCACCGGTGTGGAGCACAAGGGGACAGTCACTACCCTGCTGGCCACATTGTTGCTGATACAGGCCAGGAGGCCACTTGCCTTCTTGGCCACCTTGGCACCCAGTGGCTCATCTTGGTCAAGCAGGACCTGTCTTTCTTAAACTCTTGTTGTCTGGGCCTGATTCACTGGTTGGCCTGTAGGCACTATGTGATCACACTCAAGATAATTTGTTTCATTGCTTTACCTGGTATACTGGGGTTAGGCTGACAGGCCTGTGGTCCATCCTTCCTACAACCAGTCGTGTAGATGGGCATCACATTAGCCAACCTCTGTTTGACTGGGACCTTCCTGGTGTACGAGGACTGTGGTGAATGACAGAGATTGGCTTGGTGAGCTGTTCTGTCAACTCCCTCAGTGTTAGTGTCACCTCTCCAGATCTGATTATTGCAATTGACATTTGTTCTTCTGGAGAAGGTCTGGAATTACTTACTTGAGATGTGAGGTACTCAGATTCTCTAGAGCCTCCATATCCTGGGATCTGAAGTATGAGGTATTGATGATCACTAGCTATCCAAAGCTATAATGAGTAGCTTTTATCGTACCCTTGAGACAGAAAAGAAATTCCAAGACTGATTAAAATAAAGTCTTAATTTCTGACAGTATTGGTTGCCTTACTAGAGGATATTGCATTGTTTTTGAATATTAATGTTTCAGGTAGATGAGTCCTCAAGAAACATGTTCCACTTTTCGTAACTTATCCATAAAGGTCTCTGATACTTTTCACTTCTGACCAGTTCTCTGAATTTCAGAGTTACTAGGCTGAAGTGTTTTATCCTATATTTGCTGTTGTTATGAGGCCTTAATGATAATGCTGAAATAAGTCCTTCCTGTTTTGTGATGTTATGAGTGATCATAAGTGGCTCTTGTATAGTCTCACTTACTATGTTTAATTTGTGACTCTGAAAATGTTGTTTTATTTAGACATAGCTCCATCTTATTCCAAATGAAAAAGCTCATTTAGACAATTTTTCTATCTTTGAAGTAATTTTTAGGCTGAGTTCTTCTAACAATGGGTCTGAAGGTTGGAATATTGTTGAAGTAAAGCGCCTTGTTGACCATCAGGATAATATTTCATCATTAGTCAGTGTTAATGGTAAGAGCAATTTTATAATATTCCTGGTTTTGTTAGTTACCAGTAGGATATTTCACCTATGGAGTTTTCACTTGAACCAAAGTTTTAACTGGAGTGAAACTTAGTAACTAGTGGATGTACCTTTTGTGTAGCTGCAAAGATAGTGATATGACAAAATATAATTCCTTTCTTTATGGATTAACAATGAAATGAAACCATGTGAGTTGTAATGTAGAAGAGTCAATGTCATTGATGGAAATAGAACTCTTGGTCTTTCTGTTGTGAAAATTAAAATGCTACTTTTTTTGTCTTGTTCCTTCTTATTCTAAAAATGAGATATGCAATGCCATGTCCCTTGCAGTTGTATTCCTAAGATAACTGGAGATTCTGAGTGTGCAGATGTAAGCCTGTGTATAGATCCTCTATAAAGAGGATCTGGAAGATGATGTGATCTATGCTGCTCATTAGGCTAATACTGAACTAATACCTGAAATTCTTTCTGCTCTGCTGTAAATATCAGCCCTTTCTACTCTTTTCTTCCCTGTCTCTTTTTTTATTTTTTAATTTTTTAAAAATTTTTTATGGAGCAACCCCACAGCCAGGAAAAGGTATTACTGGCGAGATAGTGTGTATTTATCCTTGGGTGTATCTGTGTCTACCTGGCTGGCACAAAGGGGCTGTGTTACAGAGGTAGCAAGAAGCTGGAAAAAAGAAAACTTGGATTCTATGGTACATGTTTCTGAGCTTAACTGTTGCCATTATTTTTTCCTTTTTGAATATGAAAGGCAAGCAGTGTTTGGCTTAAAAAAGACAAGATGCTACCTGCATCAAATACTGTCGTAGAAGTTCCTTTCTACGTGTGATAAACAAAGTAATGAGCAGGTACTTCAATACTGCCATTAACTCATTCATTTAATTTGTGAGCAGTATTTCTGTTTATGACAAAGACATACTTTGTTGTGTCTGGGGGATGTTGGGGGGTGCTTCTCCAAGGAATAGAAGGGCTTTGTATGTAGAAATGAAAATCAAATATTTATACACACTTCCTGTGGTATTCCTTGACTTTGCAACTCTGTGCTGTGCACTGTGGCCAGTGAATGTTCTTAATTCCAATTTTACATAAGCACTTGTCTCAACTATGTTAGGTAATTAGATTAGTATTTACTCAATTGTCCAGTATTGTCCAGTCAGTTATGCACTGCACATTCTACCTAGCTTTACACAAATGGGCTCTCTTCCCTTTCTAGGAAAATTTATTGTGTGAAATTTATTTTTTTAAATATAATGTGATTTCTATGTGTGGTTTTTTTCCCCTTCAGATTTGACTTTTGTGACAGGTTCTCACATAGGTGAGTTAATAGTTTGGGATGCGCTTGACTGGACAAAGCTGGCATCTGAGTGCAACTTCTGGGACTCCTCTGTCCATCCAGATGTACAACCAGAAATAAAGTTATCCCAAAGCCCTCATGAAACTTCAGTTCAACACTTAACATCTGATGAGGAGGTAAAAAGCTTCAGAGTAAATTGCTTTAAGTAAGCTAGGATGATTTTACCACAGAAAACTGAATTGTTTATATTTTCAGTTTCCTTGTTATAATATGAGAGGCTTCTTTTAAATGTGCACAGCATTTTATATGGTCAATGGTTTTTATATAAAATATTGGCTGTTGAGCTATATGAAGGGTTAATATGTTGATGGTATAGAAACTAACATTATGGACTGTCACAACAGCATTTCTTTTTGACTAACAAAGATTTATTACTTGTTTAAAATACCACTAGAGAAAAATAAATACGGGTGTGTGTTTTGGTGGTATGCATCTTTTGTATTCCAGCTTCTGGAAATACAGTTTTCCCAGTAATGCACCTGTTTGAGCAGTTATAGCTGAGATTACTATGAGAATACTATGGGGTACTATTTAAGAGCAGGCATATGTCTGTGCTGAATAGTAAATGAGTATTGCTCTTTCTGTTCAGGTGGACTATACAGAATTGTATACTCAAATGTTTCCAAGATCCTGTCTAATATAGTCAGGCTTTAGAGATAAGCTTTTGGTCAGAATACTCAGTTAGAACTCAGTTATCGTACAGTAAAATACTCAGGTTGGTATTTAATTTTGTGAAATGTTATCAACATTTCACAAAATTAAATGAGGCAAAATAAAAGACCTTTCATTGTTGAGGTACAGTGGGATTTTGTTTGGGGTATGTAGGTCCATTATTGAAAATGATTAAGAAAGAGATTCTTGGAAATGGATTCAGATATATAAGCTGTAACAAAATAAAAGCTGTGGAAAAGCCTGAATATAGGGTAAGGAGCAAACAGTCGCCTGATACATTTGCCTCTTTCTGAATAGAACTTTCCTAAAACCCTGGAGAGAGAAATAATATACGATGTGGGGAGCTAAAAAATATATGGTTGCCCTTAAAGGTGGGATATCCAGTGGTTTTGTTGTCAATGCTTATTTCTACAATGAGCCAAAAATTAATTTTATTTAGGATAAGTTCTGTAATTTGGCTTCAAAACACCTTGATTCCATGCTTGAAAGCTACATATGATGTGTTTTAAGGGAATAGGAAAGAATTTGAGGAAGGACAGAAGTTTTCAAAACATTCAATGTGGAATCTGGGACTGCTGTCTTCCATTCATGAAACTGAACTAAATAAATAGCTGTCTTTTTTTTTTCTCATTGTGAGAGTTTTGAATGATGGGAAGAAAAGGTGGTTCTAATGTTACATACCAAAATAGAAGGTGCTTTTAAGGTAGTGCTGTCTGTATTGTAAAGCTTCTTAAGGATCTTTAAGTGTGGTGCAGAAATGTATTTGTCTAAGATATTATTTTGTTATGTGCTATCTCAAATAGCAGAACACTGCTCTTCATGTTAAAAACAGTGTAAAATATATGTTTGCTCTGTTTTCCAGACTTGGTAGTTAGGTAGCTGGAGAAGATACACTTGTCTAGTTTGACACTGAGTTTGTAGGCAAACCATGATTCAGAAACAAATGGGATGGTAAAGTTTTTGAAAACTAGGAAACAGTGTGAAGGAGTACATCTGCTGTCCTGGTATGTGTGTTTGGCTTGCCTTTTAATAGAACTGTACAATTTATGCTTCGTATGTTTGATTTTCTTGGATTTTGAGATGACCAGGATTTTGCCAGGGCTTGTGAACAAAGATGAGTGCTCCATGAAGAGCATCTTTTGCAAAGCTGTAAGATTGTATGGCTCAAGGTGGAAGAGTTATGTGGAAAGCCATTGAATTTGAACCTTATGCAAAAATAGAATAATGGACGTAGTGGTTTGTTTCTTTGTCTTGATTTGGTAATGGTGGTATCAGAAATCTATTCAGTTTCAGTGCTCCCACAACAGATACACATAAAGAGAAAAAAAGAATAAAAACCTGAACAAAGAGTTTTGAACAATGTCAAAACATTGATGAATATTTATAGGAAACTTTAGTCAAAAGACCCTAGGCTACAAGTTGTACAAAATGTTGACAGACATGTAGTGTGAATTGTATATGAGATATTAATGTTTGGATTGTGTAAATGGAAGCTGGCTGTTCAGGGAAATGTTCCAGAACTCTGTCATCTGAACAAGGCATGTTCAAAACTGCAAATATGTACTGAATAGAACATTTTGCACTCCTCTGGTACTGAATATTAATCATGTGTACATACACGGGATTGTACACTTGACCTCTTTAAGTTCATCAAAAGACATGAAGTGGTCCAGGTCCAAAGATCAGTAAACTGTTTCTGGTGTCTTAGGGTCATGGTGATTATGAGATGGAATGCCTGCAAGTCTTTTGAAGAAGAGCATTGAATGCAAAGTGCAGAATTGTGTAATACTTTACTATGAGAGAGTTCCTTTCCTGAATTCAGTAGAGCTCAAATGCTTGAGCAAGGTCTCTTTATCCATTTCTATCTTCAATTAACAACAAATATTAGTTTTTCCTGATAAATATTAGTTTTTCTTGATAAAACAAGGGTTTTTCAAAACATAGGGAATTGTTTTACTGTAAGAACATAAGCATTTAATTACAGAACTGTTTTGATTGTCCTTAGTTTCTGCTTAGACTGTGAGGAACAGGGTAAAAATACAGACATAAAATTACTGCTTAGAATATAGGATTATATCCCACATTTAGTTTTAAAAAATCAATCTCTTTTTATAACTTGCTAATTTCATGTTCAGGATAAAGCAGTAACACGAGGACAGAAACAAGGTAGGTCATTGTATCATTGGAAATCCGTTATATGCAAGGTGATTCTTCAGTATCTGTTACTGTAAGTTGTCCTATTGAATTTTCTTTCCAGTGTGTGTTTGCTGCTGTTGGGAAAGGCATATACGTATATAATCTTCAAATGAAGCGTGTGATTGCCTGCCAGAGAACTGCTCACGACTCCTCTGTGCTGCACATTGAGAAGCTTCCAAACAGGTACAAAAAACATAGTACGTTTTGTTAATGCAATAAAGAAAAACAGAACTTGGAAGGGTGACTAGAGACAGACTGCAAAGCTACATTGGATTTCTAGGGCAGAGGGTAAAAATACAGACATAAAATTACTGCTTAGAATATAGGATTATATCCCACATTTAGTTTTAAAAAATCAATCTCTTTTTATAACTTGCTAATTTCATGTTCAGGATAAAGCAGTAACACGAGGACAGAAACAAGGTAGGTCATTGTATCATTGGAAATCCGTTATATGCAAGGTGATTCTTCAGTATCTGTTACTGTAAGTTGTCCTATTGAATTTTCTTTCCAGTGTGTGTTTGCTGCTGTTGGGAAAGGCATATACGTATATAATCTTCAAATGAAGCGTGTGATTGCCTGCCAGAGAACTGCTCACGACTCCTCTGTGCTGCACATTGAGAAGCTTCCAAACAGGTACAAAAAACATAGTACGTTTTGTTAATGCAATAAAGAAAAACAAAGCTTGGAAGGGTGACTAGAGACAGACTGATTGGATTTCTAGGGCACGGACTTATTTTCAGTTTGAGCTGCTTTTATTAGGTAGAGCTTGTTCATCTGATTTCGGAAAATTTGTCATTGTAATTCAGTGGGAAAACCTATATTCCAGTATGACTAGTACATAGGCTGAAAATATCTCAGCTATTTTCAGAATCAGATTTGATGAAGCACTTTTGTCTGTATTGTGAAAATATAGCTTAGTGGGATTTTACTTCTAGAAAGCAAAGGCATATAGCATATTCTGAATATATTTTCCATTAAATATTTTATAACACTTGAAATATTTTAACAAAAATTAATAACTTGCAGTTTTTGTTTCTTATTGCAGAGTTTCTAGTTGGAACTTGCTTTGACAGCCAACTTGGACAAGTTGCTGCATATATATGTATATGCTGTAATATATTATAGATAATAGTATAAGATCCCATTATGTTCTTGTTCAGTCTGCCATAAGATAAAAACTGAGGCTTTGGTTTTGTAAATGTATGTATTCTAAGCTGTTACATGTAATGAAACAGTACCTTTCCTTTCATTATTTGTCTGTAAGAAAAAATAGGGTTTTGCTTAATGAAAGCAAACTTACAGAAACCAGTTAGAAGAAATGTGTTTGTAGAGTCTAGACTGGTTGTGTTTTGGTTTACATAGTGGTATGCTTTTAATATGGAGTTGAAAAGGTTTCTTTTTTTTCCACTTATTCTAAATGTCTGTTATACTTTGTTCTGCTACTAATGAATTTTGTTTTGTGTGGAACCTCTGTACACTCTGCTCCATTTAAGAGTTCTAGTAAACTTGTGTGGAACCTGAGGCACTTATTGTTTCTTTCATAGAAGCATCACAAGGTGATTTGCACAGGTAAGTATCCATGCTAGTGTTGCTTATCAACTGTTTTTACAGGCAGCTGATCTCCTGTTCAGAAGATGGCAGTGTGCGCATTTGGGAACTCAGAGAAAAGCAGCAGCTGCCAGCTGAACCAGTTCCAACAGGTTTGCTAGTAGTGGGGAGTGAAAGGAACGTTTAAAAACCCAGTATCTGCCATATAGGAATAGAGAGGTTTAGGCTTTGTAAAGAGAGATAATGTCTTGTATTTAACTAACTGATTACAGGAGTGGGAGGGAAACTGAAGAGAGCGTGGGTGTTCAAGTCCTCCAAGACCTGATATGGGATGATAGAAGGTCCAGCTGAAGCAGTTCTGTGCCATCAAGCTTACTTACAGTTTACAGTTGTATGAGCCAGTTTAAAAAAAAAAAAAGACCTGACAAACCTTGATCCTTTCCTCCTTGTACCAAACAGTACTGATTTCTATACCATACAAGAGTAAATAGTTGCAGGATCTTGTGATTATAGCTTGCAGATAAGCAGCTGGCAGCAAAAAAAAGAGTTTCCCACATCTCCTCTTTGGACTTGGAATTATGTTGGGACTTAGTTTGGAGCTGCATCCAAACTCACATGCTGCTTCTGGGCACTGCAGTCCTCAGAGCTAGTTGATTGTGTTACAGGGAGCATTTTTCCAAGTAAGACATTCACAGAATTGCAGAATGGATGAGGTTGAAGGGTTCTACAGTGAGTCATGCGGTCCAGCCTCCCTGCTCAAACAAGGTGATCCTGGAGCACATGGCACAGGATTGTGTCCAGATGGTTCTAGAGTATTCCCAGTGAGGGAGACTCCACAACCTCTGGGCAACCTGTTCTGGTGTTCACTCACCCACAAGTAAAGAAGTTCTTACTCAGGTGGAACTCCCTGTGCATCAGTGTCTGCCCATTGCCTCTTGTCCTAGTAATCAGTGCCTCTCAGAAGAGCCTGGTCCATTGTCGTGATACCTGCAGATACTTCAGATACTGATAGACATTGATGAGGTCCCCTCCCAAGGCTGATGAGGCCCAGTGTCCTCAGCCTATCCAGATGCTCCAGTCCTCTTATTATTTTTGCAGCCTTCTGCTTGACCTGCTTGCTTGTCCTGAGGAGTCCAGAGCTGGACACAGCACTCCAGGGGAGACCTTGCTAGGGCTGAGTACAGGGGCAGGATCACCTTCCATGACCTGCTGGCAATGTTCTTCCCAATGCCCCCCAGGATACCATTGGCATTCTTGGTCACGAGGACGCACTGCTGGCTCATGGACAGCTTGTTGTCCCCAGGACCCCCAGGTCCTTCTCTGCAGAGCTGCTCCCCAGCAGGTCAGCCCCAGGTGCCTGAGGCTCTTCCTCCCCCGGTGCAGGTCCCTTCATTTGTCTTCGTTGACTTTCAGACAGTTCTTCTCTGCCCATCCCTCCAACCTGCCGAGGTCCCTGAAGGGCTGCACAGCACTTCAGAGTGTTGGCCATTCCTCCCAGCTTTGTGTTCTCAGTGAATTTGCTGAGGAGGCGCATTCCATCTTTTTCAAGTCAAGGATGATCAAGTTAAACAGTTCTGGGCCCAGTATTGAACCTTAGAGGACCCTGTCCAGTGACAGGGCTCCAACTGTGCCGTGATTTTGACCCACTGGGATCTGTTGTTCAGCCAGTTCTCCATCCACCTCACTGTCTACTCAGCCAGCCTGCATCCCTGAGTTTGTCTATGAGGATGTTGTGGGACACAGCGTTGAAATCCCTGCTGAAATCAGGTAGACAATATCTGCTACTTTCCCCTCATCCATCCAAGTAATTGTTTTATTGTAGAAGGCAATTAGGCTGGTCAAACATGACTTTCCTTTATTGAGCCCTTGCCACCTGTTCCTGATCATCATCTTGTCATTCATGTAGATAGAGATGGTCTCCAGAATGAAGTGCTCCATCACTTTCCCAGGGATTGAGGTGAGGCTGACTGGCTGGTAGTTTCCAAGGTCCTCTTTCTTGTCCCTTTTGAAGACCAGGGTGACATTTGCTTTCTTCCAGTCCTCAGTGCCTCTCCTGATCTCCATGACCTTTTAAAGATGATCATGAGGAGCCTTGCAGTGGTGTCCACCAGCTCTCTGAGCACTCACGGATGCATCCACTCAGGACCCATGGATTTGTGAATGTCAGGTTTGCCTGGATGGCTTCTAACCTAATCCTCCTTGGCCAAGGTGTCTTCCTTCCAACATTACTTTTTACCCTGGTCGCCTGGGTCAGAGAATACTGAGGGCTGGTCTTGTCACTCAAGACTGAAGTGAGGTACAGTACCTGACTTCTCTGCATTCTGGTCTACAGGGTCCCTCCCTCCATTTAGGAACAGGCCCACATTATGTTTAGATTTCATTTTGTTCTTAATGTATTTGAAGCCCTTTTTGTTGTCTTTGACACCCTTGGCCAGTTTTAATTCCAGATGGGTCTTGGCATTCCTTGTATCATTTTTACTTACTCTTACAGCTTTCTATATTAATTTCAAATGGCCTGACCCTGCTTCCATCTCCTGTGTATTTCCTGCTTATGCTTGAGTAGTGACAGTTCTTTTGTAGTACTTGCTACTCTTTGACCAAGCTCCCCTGCACACTGGCTGTTGTGGTCTTTGACAGGTGCTCTGGACAATATAGTTCGTATCAAGGACTGGGAACAGCAACAGACTGTTGCTTCTCTGTAGGAATTTTTTTATTCAAGGTGTGAATAATTTTCCTGATGTATCTTGTTTACCTAGCTATTCGTCTCTTGTTGGTAACTTTCGAAAATGTATTTTTGCTGTCTGGGTTGATTTAGGAACAGTTTTTGAGGAATATTCCATCTTCAGCATTGCTGGTGATGGGCTGATCTACGTAGTGACAAGTGGTATTTGATTTCACATTAGAAATTTATAACTTCTATGAATCAAGATGTTTGAGAAAAAGCCTTAGGGACATACTGCTGTTGAGTTGCACTCTTTTTATTCTAGGCATCCCCTGAGAAGCTGTTCATCTCACCAGTTATCTCCCTTGCACCAGGGCCATGGTTTAGCACAATTCTAGTTTTATGTGCTGATAGGGCTGAGGGAAGGATTGGGAATAAAGTCTGAGCTGCATTGTCAACAGAACCCAACCTCCTTACTTATGTCAGTACTGTTACACAGTTCTGGGGGCTGTGGCTGTGTACTTCTGTGCAATCTAAATGGAACATGGGAAGTACTATCTTTACACTCCACATCTGCTGATAGTTTTTGCTGAAGGAAGGAGGCAATGAGCCAGCTGTAGTGCAGAACATACAGAGGAGAAATTGGCACCTCATTTTTGTGCTCTTTGCACAAGTAACAATTCAGGTGGGCAGAGCAAAGATAAACACCTGCATAAACTTGTCCTCCATCTACCTTTGCTGTTCAGTTAATTCTTTTAGGAAGTCTTTGTATTTGTTCCTAAATCTGTGTGTTGTCTCATCCGGGTGTGTAATTTAGCATGTTTTCTAAATTACATTAAGTGGGACAAGTAGCTATGTTTCCTTCTTCGCTCAAGATGAATAATCCAGATGCTAAAGGGCTGCACAGTACAGTGCTTCTGTCTTTGCCAGACAGAGTGTGTTGCTTTTAGATTTTATGTGGCTTTTGTAGTTCTCTCTTTAGCTGGAAGAAATAAATTGTATTTGTGATTTTTGTCAAAATAAGAGAATTTATTTCCCCCCCCCTCAGGGTTTTTCAACATGTGGGGATTTGGAAGAGCAAACAAGCAGGCAAACCAAGCTGCTAAGAAGATGCAGGAGAATACACCTGTGTATTTCTTGGAGCTAGTTGGTGATTTGATTGGTCATTCTTCAGCTGTGCAGGTAGGTCAGCTGTAGTAAGAATGAAAAAAAGTGAATGTTAGTAAGTAACATAAATTTGACAGTGTTTTTTGAACTGTAACTTTTGACTGTCTGGCTCTGGAGGCTAGGAGCACATTTTGTGATATTTTTAGTACTGTGTGAAAACAGTAATACATACTGACTTAATGTTCTAATGAGACCTTGCTCACTGATGCCTGAGGACAGCATTTGCACATAAATGCTAGAGATAATCTGACAGAGTATTTGGCTTCATTTAGAGACTGCAAACAATACAGCTGGGAACCGTGTACATGGCCCAGATTTCATGTGAAGTTCACAGTCTAAAGAAGGACTCCTACAAAAAAAACCCAAACCAAAACACACAGAGTAATTTCTTAGCCCTCTGTGCTGTGGGCATTAAGGAGGTCTTTTAACTTAAACAGTACTACCAGTGTTATTCCATGCTTCTTTCTGCCTAAAATAGTGTGTGTTCATATTAAATGGCATTTTCCCTCCACACTTTTCTGTCACAAGGTATTGGTGTAACAAAGCACTTTGTTACAGTGGACTTCTGTATATACTCTTGGCAGGAGCAGGGGTAAGGGCAGCTAAAAGGGGATGGTGTGGTTCTGGAGTAGCTTTGCTCACAAGCATTCATGAGACAGACTGAATTTCAGAGTGCTGCTGCTAAAACCTGAAAGCTTTTCTTTAAAAGCTAAGGTGAACCTTCCTGCTAAAGGGATTTCTTCAAGGCTCTCTTTCCCTTTCTGCCATCCTTCTTTTGAAAAACTGTTGGAGGGGGCCTTATCCACTTGTAAGGATGCTATGTAAGCAAGAAGACATAGTGTATATAATTCAGCAAGAGACACAAAGAGGGTGAGAGGCATACGTTGGGTCTTGGCTGAGATGCAGAGCAAAGGAGTAATGGAGATGATGGGTGTGATTTCCTGCAATGTTCTACATATGGAAAATTTTTGGGTTTTTTAAACTCTGGGAAGATGGGAGCAGTTGAGAAAGAAAATGTTGAGTAGTGATGAAATGTGATGGCCAAGATGAGGACTTGACAGACTATGTCTTCTGGAACCCTATAGCTATTAGGTTACTGTTCCCAGGGCAGGTAGGTTTTGGCCTTTTGGCTTCTCCTAGACAGATCCATTTAACAAACTGAAGAGTTAGGGAATTGTGAGCATGCCATGTGACATCACTGGTTCCATTGGCTGACATGTTGTGCTGCAGTTAGTGGTTAATTTTAAGCAGTCTTGTGAAGATCTCAGAGGTCAGGGGTTAACTCATGATTTGTCAGCTCCATTGGTGTTGGAAAATCGTTCCTCTGGTGCTGTACTTCCCTCCAGTATTGTGTTTCTTGCTTGTTTGACTTCCTCTCTGTGACTAGGCATGTGTCTGTCACAGCTTTTTGTCCTTTGATCTTTCCAGGCCTGCTGCTAGTACGCTACTCTGTTGTTGGGGGGAGGGAGGACAGTGTACCCTGTGAACAGAACATTTCTGTTCCCAAGAAACCAGATCAGAGTTTGTGCAAATCACTCTTCTACTGCTGACTTGAAACAAGTTTCTTCAGAATTCTGTCCTTTAAATTCCCTATCTGTAAGGCTTGCTTCACTGCTTTTTTTAGACAGAGATCTTTCAGTATGAAGTGATTAAAGAGTTTGTTTTTGTGTAGCAATTTTATGGTATCGCTAACATACAGTATGTAATTTTTTATTCCTGTTTATAAGCAGAGCCATTTCAGATACATATGTTTGTTTAGTCCAGCTAGACACTAAATAATTAAGCAAGTTGACCATCTCATGCAAGCATTGTGGTAATAAGAGTTGTTTCATTGCAGATGTTCCTGTACTTTGGTGAACTGGGATTGGCTACATGCTCTGCTGACCACCTCATTATTTTGTGGAAGGATGGTGAACGAGAATCTAGCCTCCGCAGTTTAACATTATTTAAAAAATTGGCACAAAATGGTGATTTGCAGCTCAGACTTTAAATTGTTTGAATACAAACTGTATACAGGCTGTATATATATATTTTAAACATGAGTGTAAAGAATCTGACTACTAGTAGGGCTTACACTTAATATCATGTGTTATATGGGAACTTCTCTGAGTTGCTACTCTTCTCAAAGGGGGATTTTGCATTTTGTAACGCCCTGTCAGCAGAAATGCTGTTCTCTTGAAAAACTGAAGGTAATGATGACTCATAAAATAGTTTCTAATATTCCAAATGTTTAAAATTATCACGGGTGAATGTTAAAATTAAGAATTGTGAAATACGTTAGCTGGATCAAAATTAAAGCAGTTGAGGGTATCCACAGTGCTATGTGCAGGAAGAAAGCATGGGAAGAAATATGCAGCTTCCTGCTCTATCTAATTTATTTCTAGAAGCTGAACTTTCCTCACTGATGGCTCGGATTCGTTTGTATGCAGAAAGCCCTGAAAGAAAGCATTGTCAAATAGAAATTTTGCATTTGAAGTTAATATCCTGCACCAATGGTAAGAAAAAGAAAAAAGGTAGATAATGCCAGTTTGTCAGGTTCTAAATTTTGGCAAACTGAGGTATAGAGAAACTGTTAATAGTAGTAGTAGCTGCAGTTTTACTTGGATTAGCCTACATTACTGGAGTGAATACAGCATTACCATTACACCATTACCAAGTTTAGCATGCAGTGTGATTAGTTTAGCTTGGTCTTTCCATAGTGCATTCATCAAATTAAATTGTATCTAATAAAGAGCGTTTGCCTTACCATGAATTTTCAGAATGTAAAATCCTTTCTTAAGCAGTAGGAGTTGATATTTCAATAGTAGTGAAACTGTGTTTTGCCATGTGAATACTAAATTCTCAACTGAAGTCTGACTTCAGAGAAATCTGACTTCAGAGAAATCTGCACCGAGTTTGTAAGGCAAATACTATTTCAGGGTTAAAAAAATAAGTAGCTAAGTACACAGTAACTAAACAGGAGTAGTGAAAGAAATGCAAACTAAAACAAAGCTCAAACCGCAACAACAAAAACACATCAGCAAAAAACTAATCAACAGACAAACAAGCAAATAATCTCCTCTCCCCCCTCCATGCCAATGACAAAAAAACCCCAAAAAATGAAACAAAGTTAAACCCAGAACTGATACAAAGTGAGCATGAGGGAGGACAAGATAATGAGTGGTACATTACCATTTGAACAGAGAAGAGCTAGGAAAAAGGGAAAGTTTGGGAACTTAGTGGTCATAAAACTATGTAGAAGAGGGTGCTACTCAGGTCCACTTGGAAGATACATCACTTAAATGGTGTGGGAATAAATCTTGTGCATCTTTTCAGTGCCGTGTCTTCCCTTTGAATCAATAAGAATTGTTTTCAGGACAGGAGACTACATGGCTATAATTCCAGACTCCAGATACAGTGGTTGCAGTTAGTGCGATTAAAACAAAGGGCTAAGCAGATTCTCGCAAGGGCAGAAGGAAAAGGAGAAAGCCCCTAGCTTCCTAGAAGAAACCAAAGAGCCTTTTAGACTTGCTTCCTTCCCAGAGCAGCAGTGGGCACTTTCCTTTCTCCTACCACTCAGAAGCCCACCTTTGCCTCTTGAGTTTTATTATGAGACTGTAATTGTCTCTGGAATGCAGGGCAGAGGGGCAGTAAGATTTTGAGTTGTAATTTTTCCCTACCTTAGGTTGTACAGTTACTTGAGTATAGTGCTCAAAATAACATATTTCAAAACCACAAAACAGGTGGAGGAATTGTTAAATTACCATCTCCTTTCAATTCAGGGAGGTTAAATCAGTGTTAAAGCTTGAGCTGCAAGTTCTTTGCTAAGGCTGACTATTCTGTTGACTCATGGAGAAAAGACATTTGGATTACAGCTGAGGATAACATGCCTTGGGTATATGATATTAAACTTGAGGGAGGAAAGCATGTTAAGTCTGCATTGCTTCAGCTTGTCTTCTTCAGCAGATGTTGCATTTTTGGCTTACTCAGGAGAAGCTGGCGAGATAAAATGTCTCTTTGGATAATTTTCCTTGTTTTAATTGTGAAATAACTATTTGGTTGTATATAGTGCTTGTGTGTGCACATTGTTACAACACCTTTACAGTGAAAGCTTATGAAAGTTAGGTTTTTTGAGGAGCCTCCTGCTATCATCAGTTATAACTAGAGAGAAGGAAGGTTGTTTTTTTATTGTCTCTTCTTATAGCATGAGAACAGCTATTTCCTTTTTATTTGACTGCTGTTAAGTGAATACCTGGTAGCGAAACAGACCTTTTTAACTGAATAGTTCTAGTCACAAAGCTCACTGTGCATTTTAGAAGGATGTAATTTCAGCTTTAAATGTCCTGCGTGCATGTATAAATATTTATATTTATCAAAAGTGCCAGTTGTTCTCAGATACACTCCATTGGCATTAGATCTTCCAAGGGTCTCTTCTTTTAAATATGGTTGACTTAAAAGTATTGAGTTCTTTGTTTCACAAATGAACTTAGAGTGTAACAGAGAACATAGGTATATATCCTACTCCTTTCTTAAATGAGAGTTTGTCGCTTGCTGTTGGGAGATACAGTGAGCAGAATTATGGTGACCAGATGAACTTATACATTTAACTGATGTCCTAAATATTTTTCCACCTTGCAGTAATACTGAATTCCTTATGTTTTCCTCATGGAAATAAATGTCTTTGTCACACCTACTCTTTATACTTTTACAACTCTGAGGTGGCTGTTTTTACATCTGTGCATTGACAACAGCATGAAACAAGCAGCTGTTAGCAAACTGGACTATTCTAGGAGATCTGACACAACTGGCAGATTATGATTAATCTGTACTGATTTGTTTTGCTATTAAAGAGGACCTATGTCCATGCAATTTTTTTTTCCTTTTGTTAATCTCACTGTGGGAAGAAATGCAAGATCCTGCAACAAATATATTGATTCTGTATTCATGCCTTGGCCTCAGTTCTGGTTCACAAGTAGAACTTTATTTTTTTTGATGCTTTCCACTGTTGACATTTTGTTCTGTGTGACAGAAGTGTGACAAAAATTATGAATTAAATGTTTTACATGGATGTGGTCTTACAATGTTGCTATATTTAACAAGTTAAATTAACAAAGCTTAAATCTTGGAAAATTCTTTTCCCTATTGCAAGCTGCAATGAGTGTTCAGTTCAGAATAGTTAAGGTAAAACCACCAAGAGCACTAGTTCTAAATAAAGAAGTAGTAAAAGCAAACACTATACAGTATTAAAAAAGAGGTTCAACTTCTCTGAATAAAAATCCACTGAAGAATGTTGCTATAGATAATAGGAAAGAATGAATAAGCATGCTTCACCAGAAACACCATTCTTCAAATGTACATGATGCGGCATTTTAATACACAGCAACCTGCCTTGGCTATGACAAAAGTAAGGATCTGTTACAATTCTAACAAAAATATAGCTTCTATACATTCTTCTGCACATACATTTTATGAATGTTGCCTTTTGTTTCAGAACTTGGTACAAAACATACAAAAAAGGTTGGCACATATGTAAGCTACCTGCAGTAAACAGCATTGTCACTATTCTTCCATAGCAGTCTATGCTGTTTGCTTTTTTTTCCCCTTTTCCTTTACCCAGTTTGATTTTTAATACAGCACAGGGTAGGTGGACTGCTTCTTTAACTGCAGCCACAGCTTTGACAGTCTTGCTTGCAGCCTGGAGTGCACAGTGTTAAAAATCAGCAGTTCTGCTAGTATTTATTTACTGAATAATCTGAGAATAGTCTAAAATTTGAACTCGTGTTCTGCATGTGATTAAATGAGGTGTACAAAAATACACATTTGTGCTTTGAAAGCCTTAGCATAAATTTCATATCTTAGAACTAATGAAGAACTGTGTTTGATTTCCAACTGATATACATATTTTGAAGTACTTGTTACATCACAAAACCAATCAGCATTTTATTAGGAGGATAAAGCAGTACAAATTATAATGCTTTTATAAATTATAGCCTGGAAACTTCTTTTAAAAAGTGATAGGTTCATCCTAGAAGTAGCACAATAAATGAACTTGCCGTAAAATTTAGATCAGTTTAATAAAAGTGATGACCATGTTTACAAACACCATTTTTATAAAAAAGTATGGTGATCAAGTGCCACTATAGTTTTTTTGTGTAAAATTTGGTGAAAACTTGTGTGATAACATCTACAAGATGGCAGAGAACCATGTGGATGGCACTACCTAGACAGAACATGCTTATTTTCCTGTATTATATGATCACTTTTAGAGAACATTGACTTCCACCAAGATTTTATATGGAAAAGAAAGAAGAGGTGGTGCTCTGAGAGCATCTCTGTAATAAGAAGGTGTTTTAAAAGGTGTCATGTTTGGATTTTTAATGTATTCAATTTATTAAGATTTACTTGTTTTGCTATGCATGTTCTCTTTAGAAGTATGGTTCACAGAGCTGAAGAAATTTATGCTAGATAAGTGGGAAGTTTCTATCCTTATTTGTTAGGCTATTCTTACTCTCTTGGTGACTAGATTACCCCTCTCTCTGAAAAACAGTTGTGTGAAGCATTAGTGAATACAGTTGTATCAACTACAAGATTCAACAAGTGCATATTCAGTATTAGAAACTAGTTTAAGAAGTACATTTTCTGCCACAAAATATTATTTCCGAAGAGCACTTAGTCATCTGTGGTTTCTATAGCCTCTAAAAACATTTTTCTGTAGAATTCATAGAAGCTTAAAAATGAGTAAAATATTTCCTTCTTGTCACGCAGTCTTAATTTCACTGGAAAAGCAACATTAATCCCCTTTGTAGCCAAGAGTTTCTGTAAGTGATTCACAGTGAAACTGGTAGAGCAAGAGGTCTGGTTTTCTTGACTGAGTATCAGTTGTTGTTTTCTGATGGGAGCCTGAGACTCTTGCACTTCAAATCATCCAGTGTTTTCCAGTGTTTGTAGTTATTAGCCAAGTGTTGCATCAAAACAGGCAGATGTGCAAATGCTGAAAGAATAGGAAAAGGAGTTTTACCATGTTTGTAGAAGAACAGCCCAGCCTGATCTGAA